TTTTTCTTCAATTTTCTTACAATTAGAAGACGTGTCACCCATGCATCAATATGCTGTTTACAAAAAAGACATATTAGTGAATTACATAAATTTAAAAAAAATTAATCAAACTGATATAAGAAATAATACTTACCCCCCATCGAAATAGTCGTTGTATTCAACCCCTAAATACACCCCACCAAGACCGTTCAATCAACAAATGCATATCATCGTTGAGTTTGTATATGTCAGCGTAACACCCTTGGCTCCGCTCATGTAGATAAAAATCAAATGCGGTCTTAGCCCAAAGGGTATTATCCAGAATTGTTTCCGGTAGTTGTTTACTCTCCACTTCATCTGCTAGAATGGTACTGGCCGGTAACTTATACGAAAGCCAACAGTCATCCATCATGTCTGGCACGTGAGGGGGCTTCTCAATAATTCGATATATTACGCCATGTGAATCGGGCTCTAGAATGTTGGGAGGGACCTCTTCAACGATGACAGTGGCCTCTTGAACGGTGGGAGGGGACTCTTGAGGGATGATAGGGGCCTCTTGAACGATAGGGGAGGCCTCTTGAACGATGACAGGTGAGTCGGGCTTTTTCTTACGGATTCTTCGCACTATTAGGGTGAACGGAGACATAATGGCACGTGTACGCCGTCTGATGCGTGAACTCCGTCTTGCAAGAAAAACCCGACGTAGAGCATCCACCTTAGCGGGCCGCTAAAAATAAATTAATACATAAATCAGTAAATAAACAGACATGATATTAAACGGTGAGAACAAAGAATATATTTCAAACTTGCACGGTATTCACCCAAGTCATTATTATATCATTGTTCACAAAATGCATCAGATAACATTCCAGAAGTAAGCACTTATATAAACATTTAAAAAGAGAATATATAGGTTTAGTGCAGGTTCAATGACAACATAAAGAGTAGTAGTTTATTCTTGAAACTTAAATTTTCAACACTGTGAAGTTAGTATTTGTCTTTTGGTTGAAGTAATGCAATTCATTCAAGTTTCAATTTGCAGAAGAAGAATAGAATCTGCAAATGACTATCGCAACGCGAAAATGACTATCGCAAAGAGAGAATCGCAATGCGAAATGAAAATTGCAACAACAAAATCGCAACGCGAAAATGACTATCGCAATGCGAATTTGACTATCGCAATGCGAATTTGACTATCGCAATGAGAGAATCGCAATGCGATTTTCATTTCGCATTGCGATTCTTTCGTTGCGATAGTCATTTTCGCATTGCGATAGTCATTTTCGCATTGCGATAGTTATTTTTGCTTTGCGATAGTCATTTTCGCATTGCGATTCTCTCGTTGCGATAGTTATTTTCGCATTGCGATAGTAAACTATTCTTCTTCTGCAAATTGAAACTTGAATGGATTGCATTACTTCAACCAAAAGACAACCAAAAACAAATACTAACTTCACAGGGTTAAAGAATAAACAGTTAAACAGTATTGGCAGCAACCGAATAAATTTACTAAGCAATCTAAGTGAAATTACGAGTAAATTTATCATCAAGTTAAATATGAAAAATATTAAACTTACCTTGTTGCGTAGAGTATGAACCTTGTTCTGCAACGATGCTACAATCTCACGTAGAGCTGCTACCTCACCACGTAAAGTAGACACCTCAACACGCCATGCACCATTGTCATCGCGTAAAATACCGACCTCCTCACGCAAGGCATTGACCTCATTACGTAACTCCCCTAACTCATCCCGTGGAGGTGGAGGTGGAGAACAGGGAGATAAATGTCGTGGCATCTTTGCCGGTCGCCTATCATGAGGTGATGGTGGAGAAGAGGCTCGATGACGTGACAGAATAGGTGATGACTCTCGTTGTGGAGGTGTATATTCGGGTCGATCAGGTGATGGCTCTGGGTGAGGTGATGGCTCTCGAAGTGGTGGCTGCTCATCCGTGCCATAAAAAAAAGCTTACTTGCCACCAATCAGTGGCAAGCTCAGCTTACGGGTGTCAGCCTCTGTAATGGAGTGTTGGCCTCCTAACAATATAAAGCTCAAACAAAGTTAAACGTGTACTAGTATAACTTGTTTATAACATATGGTAGATTTGTGTTAACTTACATTATTTATTGTAGTATACGGTAGTAAATCTTCCCATTGTTGCAAGGACCGTTTCCTCTTCCAGGAAATAGCCCTAGGAATATCATTAGAAGTTTTTAATGCATATGTTTGCATGGCGGGAAAGGCCTCAAATATCCAAATCTACAAACATATAATAACAAACATTAGTAATTGTTAAAGAATTAATTATAATTTTGGAAACATTATAAAAGTTATTACCTTAAAGGCCCAAATAAAGCCTGACAAAGTGTATTTGGAACCATCGCCACGCAAACTTTTCCGATCATAAAGGCAGACGACAACTTATTCCATGTAGCTCTCCATATACGAACCCCACGGGAACAGGTTCCATGCATTTAGTCCTCTACCAATTTAATTAGATCATTAGGAATAGGTTGTCGGGCCTCTCTGCCTAAAAAGCCGGCTTGCAAAAGTATTAGAAGGCATACTCGGATAACATCGACGTCATCCATCCGAGTAAAACCATCTTTCTTATTCAATAATTTCGTCAAGTCTTCCACGAGTAAATTCGGCTTCTCCGTTGACTGCTCAGGAAAAACCCGGGAAAACCATGATAGGCGGGTAATATGTCTAGTGTACCGATCTACATCATCGTGTCTGAAGCGTAGACCGGTGATTAAGCAAAACTCCTCCCGCCAAAACACGTATACGCCGGTGGAAATCAAACCATATCTCTTCATCACGACGTTGTATAGTCTCTGGTAGATCGCTAGTCATGGTTTGAAGAAACAGATGGGTCAACATAGCATCTCCACCTAGATGTTGTACTTTCAGCCATGGCCTGAAGCAAGTATCCTCAAATATTTTTCTTTGTGCATGTGAAAGCTTCGACGCAATTGTTTTGGCCAGGCTTACTTTATTTCTTAAGGTCAATTGAGCCGAATAAAAGTTCTGCAAAAACAATAAACATATCAATTTAGATATACCAAAAACTACACTGTGAAGATATGAACAATAAACATAAAGAGTAGTAGTTATTCTTCAACTTAAATTGCAACACTGCGAATTTAGTATTTGTTTTTTGGTTGAAGTAATGCAATTCATTCAGTTTCAATTTGCATAAGAATAGTTTCTGAAACTTTAAATCGCAACACGAAAATGAAAATCGCAACACGAAAATGACTATCGCAACGCGAATTTGACTATCGCAACGCAAGAATCGCAACACGAAATGAAAATCACATTGCGATTCTCTCGTTACGATAGTCATTTTCGCGTTGCGATTCACTCGTTGCGATAGACATTCTGGGTTTCAAATACTAAAATTGAAAGAAACTTGAATGGATTGCATTACTTCAACCAAAAGACAAAACAAAGACAAATACTAACTTCACATGGTTAAAGACTAAACAGTTTAGCAGTATTGGTAGCAATCGAATGAATATAATAAGCAATCTAAGTAAATGGTTAATCTATTATTGAAAACACCAGTAAACTTATCATCATTTCATATGAAAAACCTAATAATAATGCAAAAATTTCAAAATAAAAATAATTAAAAAAACTAACCCTCGGTGGTTGATTTGGTTGATTTTCCATTTCCGACCGTGAATGATTTCGTCGGAGATGGAAACGGATGTCGCCTTAGAGAGTGAGAGATAGAGATGAGACTGAGTTGTGATTTAGGGTTTTAGGTTATGAGTTGCGATTACGGGATATACTGTAGATGGTTCAGTGTTCCGATATATTAATATATTCGCGAATTGGAAAATCGCAATGCGATAGTCAAATCGCGTTGTGAATCTGGAAACTGATTTGCGATACCGGAGATCGCGTTGCGAATTATCGATCACATTGCGATTTAGTTGGTCATTTTGGCAAATCCAAAAAAAGTTGGTTAAAATCGTATATTATAAGGCATTTTTTGTCACTGATGTTATTTTCTCTTAATTTTATTTTAGCATAAGAGTGGTTAAAGAATTTTGTTAACCAATATTTTTAAGATATTATTAAAATTATTATAGTATGAACACGGTGAGTAATTTTAATAATTAAATAGAGTATTATTCTCTCATAAAATTTTAGATTCAAACAATTGTGTGTATATAGTGTATATATTATCATATATTATTTTAAAAAATTATTATAGTACGAAGTATTGTTTTGTTCGTTTTGATAATGTATACATATACATAACAATTGATTATTATATTTAATATGAAAATATTGTCATAACTTTTTACTTGGTGCACGGGTAAATTTATAAAATTAAATTATATTATCAGATTTTTCAAAAGTATATAAAAAGAATTATTTTTAAACGATGGGTGTTAAGTTTTTTTAAAAGGATGCTAATTATTTTTAAAGTGAAATTAATATTATTTTAGAATGATATCAAATTTATTTTTAATATTTTTACATAAATTTAATAAAATTTGGAGCGTCAACTATCATGCTGAAATAGACTCCAACTAAAATAATATAGAAGTTTCAAAATATAAATTAAACAATTTTAAATTGATATGATTTAAAATTAAGGGTAACTACATCAAATGTCACCAAACTTTAAGCGTTAACTCGTTTATACTATTAACGTTTTAATTTTGTCAATTTTAACATTAATGTTTACTTTTAAGTGCAATTATATCACTCTAACGTTAATGATTTAACAACACGATGACATAGAAGCACGCGTTGTGACATTGCTGATGTGTATGCCTAAAAAAGTATAAAATGGTGTTGTTTTGTTCACATAAAAAATATTAATTTTCTAAAAAAACTCAAAATTTTCAAAATTCCAAAAAAAAAAAAACTCTAAATTCCTGAAAATCCCCCCAAAACTAGAAACCCTAAATCATAATCCCTAAATTCATCAACCATCATCATTAATAGTACGTCGTTGTCACAACTCTGAAGTCTCCTCTCTCGTCATGCACGTCATTCGTCATTCGCCCGTCGATCGATCGTCGTTCATGGTTCGATTAGAATATTTTATATTTGGTGTTTTGATGGTCGATTAGCAGATTGTTCTTCGATTTTCAGCGACAAAAGAGTGGGGTAATTGGTGTAAGGGTTTGGCGACGAAAATGGTGGGTGGTGGCTGTTAATTCGACGACGACAATAAGTGAAATTAGGGATTTAATATTTAGGGCTTTGAGTTTTGGGGAAATTTAAGAATTTTAAAAAATTTAGGTATTTTTTTAAAAATTATTATTTTTATTATAAAGCATATATAAAAATATTAACTAAAATTCGGGAATATGAACTATATGATATGTGTATTATATTTGTAAGAATATAACCAAAATTTTAAATTAGGTGAGTGGCTAAGCTTTAGCTTTTATTCCTAAAGGACTAAAGTTCAAATCTTGATGAACTCAAAAGTTAACTAAATCATTTTACTAAATTTTTTCAAGTAAAATGATGTTGTTTTGGTTTTTTAGGCATCAAAACAGTCGCGTCAAGTTAAAATGACGACGTTTTGGTGAGGCATCAACGTCAGTAATGTCACGGCGTGGAGCTTCCATGTCATCGTGCCGTTAAATCATTAACAGTGGAGTGACATAATTGTACTTAAAAGTAAATGTTAATGTTAAAATTGACAAAATTAAGACGTTTGTGGTATAAACAAGTTAGCGCTTAAATTTTGATGGTATTTTAAGTAGTTTATCCTAAAATTGATTTGAATTTACTATCTACGAACAACCAGTTGATCTTGTGATATGATATAGTACATCCCTTAAGCAAGGTCAGAAGTTTAAATCTTGACGTTTGCGAATAGAACAAACTGAATTGAAAGGGTTGCTCTCATAATAGATTTTTACAAAACATGATTCGAAATAATCAATTAATAAAGTAAATATGGATGGTTAAACGAAAAACTTGTATTTATTATCTAAACGTTGCTGATAACTGAGCAGAGATTTAAATCTTAAAACCATAATACCTGAACAAGGCCTGCTTATTTGCGTATAACACAGAGGACTAATATGTGTAGGCCCAAACAAGTGAAAATATAATAAGCGATGAACCACAAGCTTATATACCAATACAAGAACTGGTTTCGAAATGAAAAACTAAAACATAACCACTTTCCATACTGGGTAATCCAAAATCAATGAATTCATAGAATGAACTCGATAATAAAAATAATATTATTCTCTTTAGAGATTATAAATTCGAACAACCATATTTATACGGTGTTCGTATATTAATCCAAACAATCTAGCAATTGAAAAAAGAAAAATAAACGAGTTTACAACTTTACCGACAAATCATGCTAGTACAGATTACAACCCTTTATCGAGATGAAAACTGAAGTTGGAACAATGTAGAAAGGATAAGATCGGTTCGATAGATTTTTATAGACTATGATAAACTATATAAATGGTCGTTAAAATTTGAATAAGATTTTTTTATTGATGTTTCAAAAATAATAATTTGGTCATTGACGTTATCAATTTATAATAAATCGTTATTCAACCGTTAACAACTATTATTGAGATAATAATAATTTTAGCGGGTGTTTCATCTAATACCGTCTGAAAATCATCGTATGAGACCCCATTTTTTATTCTCTCTATAGATAGTCACAAAAAGAACCCATGAAGTTGATCAACGGTCGAGAATAAAAAAATGGGGTTTCATATATATACTGATTTTTCATATAGTGTACGATTAAACGCGGTTAAAATTATTATCTCATGTGATCAAACGGTATCAAGTCAATTGGTTTAACGCACCTCATTAATATTTTGTTACCCCAATGATAATTGTTTATGGTAAAACGACTTATTTGTTATAACTCGATAACACCAATAATCAAATATAATTTATAAATTGGTAACTCCACTAACTCACACAAACTTCCATGATCATTTATATGGTTTGTCCTTTTGAATATATAAATTGTTTATAATTTAATTAGAATATTAAAATATGATTTGATTTTATATTTTCACAAGAAGATGTAGCACAGTGCATGCATGCAGTTGTTTATCTTTTACAATTGGGATGTGAACAATATAAATTACATTTAAATGACAGAAGGCATGTATTCGATCAGTTTAGGCGTCATGAAAAAGGCTGAGCAAATTTTGCAACATTTTTATTACATTTGAATGATAAAAGGTACGTATTCCATCACTGTAGGTGTCATGAAAAAGACTGAACACATATATTTGATAAATAAATTTAAGAAAATTGTTATTAAAACCCAAAGGGTATAGTCATCTAAAAGGTTAGTAAACCGTGTAGTTCACCAGTTTTTGGCATAATGACGTTAGTATGGGTGCTTATCGAACGAGTCGATCGCGAGTTGGATGATGTTCGACTTATGCTCGTTAAAATTTTTTATTGTTCGACTCAACTCTTTGCTCGTTAAGCTCATTAAAATTTTGCTCAACTCATGCTCGTTAAAAATTTTTGTTATTCGACTCGTTGCTCGTTACTCGTCAAGCTCCTTACTTGCCTTATTGCTCGTTAAACTCACTGAAATTTTTAACTTGATTTTTAACTATATGTAAAATCTACTAATATTATATAGAGATTAATATAAACTTATATTAATAAATTTAATAAAAAATTATCAAAAGAGTGCATGAAATAATTTTGAAGTCTAAACTCTAAAGCAACAATCCACAAATACGTTAAAATAATAATTAGAATTTGATTATGGGTGTAGTAAAATAATAATTATTAATTAATAATTTATTGTTTATTAGAAAATTATTGTATTAGTAATTTATTATTTATTATTATCTATTAGTAAATTTATAATTTTTTTAAAAGAAATAATTTTTAAGATAATTACTAAAAAAATTATAAAAAAACGAGCTACTCACAAACTTATTGATTTCAGTTAGACTTTGCTTGGCTCAACTCGTTAAGATCTCGAGTTCAATTCGAATCAACTCGAGTCGAGCTTAAACCGAATCGAGTTCGAACTACTAACGAGCTGCTTAACTCATTAAGCACCCCTAATCACCTCTCCAATGTAATCGTCTTATGAAATTAAATTTTAGTGTAAACTGTAAAAACAGTCACGACATTTTTAGGATGCTTGCATTTTGATCACTGGATTTTTAATAAATTACAATACAATCATAGAACTTTTAATTCACTTTCATAACAATCATCTCTGTCAATTACCATTACAAAAATATTGGCGTGACACGTTAAAGTTATATTCTCTCTCTCAAAGTCTTAAATTTCTCATATTATTTGGTAATTGATAGTCATCGATCTCTTTTTGTATCGTCATCGTCTGACGTTCTTTCAATTATTGTTGTAACTAAACACAATACCTACCGTACACAAGAATTTCATAATTTTCTTAGGATCGCGAAACCATTCAAAGTATCAATGTTTTCAAGAGTTTCAGACCCGAATAAAAGAGATAAAATTCGATCAATATTACGGAACAACAAATCTAAAGACTAAAGAGAAAAAAAATAAAGGAATCAAACGAGTGAGGTGTGAAAAATAAGGAAGTAATTATTAAGGAATAGTCGAATATGAAAAAAATTTGATAAAGAAAAAAATATTTCTGATAAAAAATTACACGAATAATATTAAAAAAGAAACTTGTACTATTCACGTTGAAAAATCATATTAATATAAATACGAATATTAAATTAAATAATTAATTATTTTTCAACGATGACGTGGCATTACCTTACGGTGGCACATAAACATTATTGTTAAGTTTTTAACGGTAAAAATACTAAAATGAAATTTAAACTAAACGTTAAATATTTTAAAAAAATACAATTTAAGTATTAAATTGAAACAAAAACAATAATTGAAGTACTAAACATTGAACTATAATTCAATCGAAACTAAAATTATTTATAGAACTCACATATACAAAACACGAGAATCCAATAATTTAGATAACAGCCTTCGTTTAGTTTGGGAACCAATTAAGAAATGCAATGGAACAAGCCAAAACATAAATCATCGCAACTTGAACTTAACCGCTAGCCGCCGCCCACTCTTCTCCCTTCAATGAACCTGACAAAGAGGATTTATTAAACTAAATTAAATAAATTTGTTCATAGGTTAAGACACTTGTTTAGACCTCCAAATCTTGTCTTATCTTCCTGATTGTATAAAAATACGAGACTAATCTAAATTAAATAGATAAGTTTCATTCAAAAATGAACAAAGCCTTGAATTTGACGTTTTGTAAAAATTCTAAACACACCGGATTATAACATCTAAGAGAACGATAAACAGTAAGAAGATAATAAAGAAATTAAAAGAACATGTTTAATTTTTTTATGATGATTTATATATGAATTTTTAATATTGACGTTAGATCTAAACTAATGATATTTATTTGTAGATTGACAAAGTGAATAAACATGATCATCATATAATATATTTTTTAATGATAGAATTAAAAAATAAATACTATAATTATATTTTTTAAATACTATAATTATCGAGGGAATATGAAACTCTGATAACCAATAGAGTTAAAGGATTAAATTAAAAATAAATAATAAAATATTTAAATAAAACAATTAAAAACTATATGTTCTAAAATATGAATACAAAAATTTAAAATACTAACACAATCTTTTAATTTAAACTTATAGATTTAATAAGATGAATTTTTTTATATTGACCCGACCCGACCCACCTAAATGTCTGCTAATTTGTCATTTTGCAGGGAGGTTGCTTCGTGGCACCATCGTCGAATCTCCGTTGAAAAGTCATCAAATTCAATCTATAAATACCCTTTCCACTCCCCCTTTCCACTCTCATCCAAAATATTCAGCTTCAGTTCTAACCCTCAAATTCAAAACACAATCTTCTTTGTTTTCTTCTCTGAAATTTGTAACTTTCATCTTCTTTTCAGTTCTTCGTAATGGAAACCAGCAGCGCGCTTCAATACATCGAACGATATTTACTCGATGAATTTTCTCCGGCGGAACTGAAGAGTTTTTCACCTGAAAATCAATGGAAAAATGCATCAAAATCTGAGGTTTCCACCTCTCAATCTCAGTCTTTCTACTCTCAAACTTCCAGCTCCGGTTCCTGTGTTACGGTATCCAATTTTAATTCCGTCGACGGTGATGATTTCTTTAACTTCTCTCCCAAATTCTCAGGCTTCGAATTTGAATCGAGACCTCAATCGGTCGATCTCACAACGCCTAAGCCCTTCTCTCCCAATGCCAATGCCTTCGGCTTTGAAGTTAAACCTCTAATCGCTAAAATTTCTGCTGTGAAACCTCAAGCTTCTTCGAATTCGAGTTCCAATTCTCAGAATCGTAAACCGTCGCTGAAAATCTCGTTACCGCATAAAGTGGAGTGGATTCATTTCGGTAAACCGAATTTAACCAACGCAGAGCCGGAGAATTTTAATAGCGAAGAAAAAAGTAAGCATTACAGAGGAGTCCGACAACGGCCGTGGGGGAAGTTCGCAGCTGAGATCCGAGATCCGACCCGAAAAAGTGCACGGGTCTGGTTGGGAACCTTTGATACCGACATAGAAGCTGCCAAGGCTTACGACCGAGCCGCTTTTAAGCTACGTGGATCTAAAGCGATTCTTAACTTCCCTCTCGAAGCTGGGAGGTTGAATGTAACCGCCGTCGACGGAGAGAGGAAACGGAGCAGAGAAGACGACGGCGCGAGGGAAGAGAGTCAAGTAAAGACCGTGAAGAAAGAAAACGACGACGACGTGACGAAAGCAAGAGATAACGGTGATGCGCCTTTGACGCCGTCAAATTGGGCGTCATTTTTGGATTTGGATAATGACGCTAAGGGGATTTTTAACATGGCACTGTTATCGCCGTTATCTCCACACCCGCCGTTTGGCTTTCCCCAACTTATGGTCATCTAAATAATGATGAGAATGTACATAAATAGTTCCATGAGTTTATTATCTATAAAATTGCTTTTGTGGCTCATCTTAACTGCAATTTCCAAACCTTATTAACCAATTTAGTAAGTATACGGTTAAAAATAGTTATCGTTTATTTTTAGTATGCACATAAAATTTTAATTAAATTATATATAAATTAACTCTACTCATTTTCATCAGTGGTAAACAAAACTCGACTCGACTCGAAAAATTGATTTTTTCGACTCAACTTGAAAAAACTCGACTCGAATTGACTTCGAGTTGTAAAATACAACTCGAATAACTCGAAATTTTTAGTAATTAGTAGATTGATTTTCAAGTTTGAGTCAAGTCTCTCGACTTTGTATGGTATACATAAATCACATATGAAAAAATAGGAAAAAATATATATGTATTGTATATGGTTATAAAATAACATTTAAATTGAAATAAAATAATGTCATAATATTGTAAATATTTATAAATTAGCTGATCCTATTCTCATATGTAATGGGGTAAGGGGGAGGTAGGGTAGTAGGCTGCCCCCAACGCCAGGTTGAGAGCAGCTTTCGTAGAAGACCTCCAATTATGAATTTCCAACCATGAGACTCGAGATCCCACGACCACAAGGTTAAGAGCATTGCGCTCTACCAACTGAGCTGGACGTGAAATTCATTGTAAATATTTATAATTAAATTTAAATAAAAACTCGAAAATTTGACTCGACTCAACTTGACTCAAATTTTATAAACTCGACTCAAAAAATTTCAAGTCAACTCCGAGTTATAAAATAGGACTCGTCAACTCGAATAACACAAATTTTTTATTCGACTCGATTGAACGCTTACTTTAATTTTCATATCAAATAGTTATTTAAAAATCAAAATTATTAAAATTCACGGGATTCTTTTTTAATTTTTTAAAAATACATTTTAAAGGCACTGAAGATAAGATAAGATTTATAATTGAATTTATATAATTATTTATTAAAACTAGTATATTTAATAATGCTATATTATTAAATACATTGAAACTAGTTGATGATCTTATTGTATAAAATAGATCATTACTAATTTATTTTAAATATATATGCAATAATGTACGAACCAAACGACTTCGGTGGTAAATGAATTGTTGTTATTCTTTGAGGTCCTGAGTTCGAGCATTATGAATGTCAGGGGTGTTGAACATTCAATATCAAATGGCTGAAAGTTATATTGTAACAGATACTGCATTGTACTTACCTTAGATTAATAAAAAATATTTTGTATGTGAAATATGGTATAATAACATATTTTTTAATACTATTTTATAATTTAAATTTGAATTATTAATTAATTAGCATGTATTTTAAATTTATTCTTAATAATACATTGATAATAGTTAATAATTTTGTTGTATAGAATAAATAATTAAATAGTTTGCTCTCAACATATATATAATTATTGTATATTAAATTTGGTATGTTTTAATAAATTTATACTAAATTTATATATAAACCTAATCTTAGTACATAAAAATATTATAAATTAAAATAATTAGTAATCTATCTAAATTAAAGTTATTTTATATAATTATAAATTAATTATTTAAATTGAGTATCTTAATGGAATAGTAATAGTTGTTAGGTACAAATAGAGGCACAAAGATTATTGATAGTTGTTAGGTTTGAATATAGACATAGAGATTATTTAAAGTTACATCTAGGTTCGAATAAGTACATGAAAATTATTGATATTGCGTCTATATTCAAATAGAGGCATGAAAATTAGTGATTGTGAAAGATTAAACATGTACTCAATGGATCATTTTGATTTTATTTTATTCACATTCTTTGAATTTTTATGTCGGGATTATGTTACTTTTATTATACTATATATTTTTATTTAATGAAAATTTAAATACCAAGCTTGGTGTAGTGTATTAATCATTTAATTTTACACTGAACGCTTTAACATATGAGATAGGTAAGATAAACCAACCTTAGATGCAAGCTCATGATAAGAGTATCACAATATTAAATGATGGGGGAAAACTCATTGAGTGACCTCAGTGGTTAAAGAGAGTGTTGTTCTTTCTTAAAGTCCTAGGTTCGAGCAGATGTTTTTGTAAAGTGTGTGTACATTGTTAATGGTTGAAAAATATTATAAACAAATATTATCTTATAATCATCCTAGACTATAAAAAAATCTATTTAAAAAATGAGATGTATTGATTATGCCTATAATAAAATACATAATTTCACGTTACAAAGGAAAATAATTTAAAAATTTAAAAAGGATAGTATTACATGGAGTATTCTTTAAGAATAAATTAATGACCTCTTTTGATCATTAAAAGAAAATTATCTATTTTAGGGTGAAAGAGTTGAACGTTTGAATAATGAGTTATTTTTATTTGTACGTAGTTAGTGTGTGTTGACTCAAGCTTGTTAATTTAACCAAACAAAAGGGTTTACATGCATGCATGTCAGCATGCTGTGTGCTCTCGAATCATATCGAGCTTTCTCGTCATTAATGCTCCCTTTTGAGACAACAAATTAGGGTTTATTTATTGAGTTCGGTCATCTGTTGTTATATATATATATATATATATATATATATATATATAATTAATCCAAACACATCTTTCTTTCCAACCATCCATTTTGACTTCAAAACACAAATATTATAATTTATATGCTAAATCTTGTATTTTCTGCAATTTAAATATTTAAATTACAGTAGCATGGTTTGAGGTCAAAAATTACAATTTGACGGCGCTGGTGAGGTGGGCAGGTCGGTCCTTAAAAATGATAAATTTATTGTTTAGACCTTCTATAAATAATGTACATTTTTAAACTAGTGTAACAATGAAATTACACTTCAGTCTTTAAAATATAATAATTTTATGATTTAATTCTTTTAAAATCGTAAAATTTAATATTAATACAATGATAAATCTATATTTTGATTCCTTAAAATGTCCTAAACTTTAATCTTAGTTATATATTCTCCATTCATAGTCCAAGTACTTAGTCGACATAGTTATTACTAAGTGTGATTCTCGTTTCCATTTTCGTTGAAGAAAAGCTCTTAGTCAATCGTTGTGAATACAAAAACGATTTTATAATTTGAAGGGTAAACTAGGGAAACTAATTTTTACACTTAACTTTGTTTGTGTTTTTATTTTGGTCCTTCAATTTTTTTTAAAAATAAATTCGTCACTGAACTTTTAAATCTTACTCATTTTAATTACTTGACCGTTAAATCTTTAACGCCGTTTGTTTTTACCATAAATTTACGTTAAAAAAATACAATTTCAAATCAAATAATGAAGATTACATATCATATTTTGTAACTTGTGTATCTCAACCATTAAAAACTCTGAAACTTTTCCCTCAAACCTACAAGTTTGAACTCCCTTTTATTCAACAGTGTCAAAATATTTTCTTAAAATCGAAATTGAAGAGAAAAACAATATATATTGATTCCACGTTGATTAAACAATGCAGTTCACATATATATATATTAAGATAAATCAAAATTTATATTTGAATTTTATCGATTTTGAAGAAATAATGTTTTAATAATAATTACATTATAAATGACGAAGAAATACTAATATAAAGAAGCCCTAAAGCACTATTTTGATGCTAACGTTATTTTGGAAAAGGAAATGCAATTTAACTGGAATAATGACCACCGGTTTTGAAAATTTTGGACCTGCATTAAAAAAAATAATGTCATGGCTACTTATTGTTTTGTTGGTCAAAGATGATGATATACATTGTGTGCATATATGAATATAGAAAACATTAGTATATTAAAGTCTTAACTGATGTATGTGATTGGCAATATATGAAAAAGAAAGTGTCACTCCTACAAACCAAATTAACACATTTGAATTCCTTCACAAACAAGCATCTCTTTATATTATTTAAATATGATACGATTTTATTCCATTCACAATAATTTCGAATTTCATATGCTCTTGTTGTACGTTTTAATATTGCTTTTTCAAGATTTTTTTCTCTCGTTTTTTATGGAAGAGTTTGTTTTTCTCCCTCCATTGTTATATCTTTATCATGTTGATCTAACCTTATTTTAACTCTTTGGTCGATTCTTTATATGTATATTATACTTGAGTTATAATAAAATCATTTGTGAATGTATTGGTGTTCTATTATTATGTTAGTGTTGATGATGCTTAATATTTGTTTATAATTTTAATTGTTCATGGTCATTTGATCGAGTTTAACCTATGATGAATAAAATATATTTCAATTTGTTAAAAGTAACTCAAAATTTAAGTAAAACTTGAAATCAAACTAGCACAAACGAAAGATAGCAGCCGTGATTGTTGGAGGAAAAATACAAGATTAAAAACCAAGTGTCTTGATTTAAATCTTTGAAGTTGAATGAATCAATTAATTACTGTAACTCCCTAAACCAAGGTGAGAGAAAATGATGAAGTAATCAGCTATTCTTTAAACGGGTTAGTCAAACTATTCATTTGACTTTAATTTTGCTAAAAGAAAAGGAAAATATTATTTTAATATAGGTGTCGGGATCTTCATGGGGTTTATACTTTATAGTTTTATGATTGTTTTGACTATTATTTTGACATTTGAATTCTAATGCCGTCAGTCAGATGTCATGAACCATGTGTTTTGGGCTATTGTAGCCCATAATTTTATTTACTTAACTACGTGGATTAACCCTAAAAAGGGAATTCGATAGCTCCCTAGGAGGGACACTAGCCCGATTGAAAGGATTACTATCAAGTGTGAGGGACAGTTCTATATCAACCTAACTATATAGTCTAGAGGTCAACACACAAGATATATAACAAAACATTCCTTTTTAGGATTAAAATAAAAACAGTGAAAGCTTGCATGTCAATTAAACGTAGAAGTCTATTTTAGTGGGAATTAATGGTTTATATATGCTTAGTTGTCAAGTTAATGTTTAATCTTATGTCATATTGTTAATATATTGATAACTATGTAATAAAAAAAATCAAAAACAACATTCTAGTTGGTCCTATTTCACTCGACAAGTTGAGAGAGAAGAGGAAATCAGTTTTGCTCTTCTTCTTCGACCCTTCTTTCAATTATAGGATTAGGGTTTAAATGCCTTGAGAGAGAGAGTTCAAATATACAAAAAAAAAGTCATTGGAAACCAAGACTTATATCAAATTCTTAAAACCTTAACTCTAGGCTACTATTTGGCACCAGTTTCTTTTGAAAGCTTTGATAAATAATCTCTAAACCTTAAAATTTTGTTAGGGTTCATGCATGATTACATTTCAACTTAGATTATGATTTTGATGTCTAAAATTATTGATGAAATGCATGTATCTTTTTTTGAATTAATCATTAGTATCTTATCTATTGACTTACTAATTCAGATCAGGTACTGCAGAGACGAGGGTGACCCTCCTAACCCAGTTTGTTCCATTCCTAAATGTCGGGATTAAAACCCCATGTCTTGTTTAAGGAATCCAGTGTCTCATCCTACTATACTAACTGTTTGTCGGTGAAATGCATGTATCTTTGACACTCAAGTGGATGTTGTGGAACCCTCCAAAGCCAGAGAAAATTGAAAGTTATTGAGAAATTCGATAAGTCGAAAAAAATCGTAAGTACAGATTAGATGAGCATAGTCAAAATCGAGTCCGTTTTTGTGACTTTGTATATGTATGTGGGCTATTTTAATTCGAATTATGACTTATTTGACCTTCAAAATTAAATTTAGGCTAATTTGATTACGTTTCTAATTCACATTTGGGGGATTCTTGGCTTTCAATTCGAGATTCATCTGGGTTTTAACGTTGAAGTGTGGGTTGCTAAGAGGAAGGCCACATTACTAGATCCAGACTTTATTGGGCCTAAGAGCTAATTGGTATTAAGAAAAGTCCATTATTGGGGCTTTTTACCCTTCAAATCATACTTTATTTGGTTTGATATTTAGCTATTTAGTATTAAGAAAAGACCATCATTGGACTCTACATATATGCATCATGTAAAGTTTTAATTCAACCATACATCAAATTAGACTCTAATTATACAAACAGGACATGTTAGAAACTAAATTATAAACTATTAAATAATTTATGTACTTAATTAGGAATCCAAATTAAAAGGTAATAAGATTATTAAATACTCTATCCCTTATTGAATTTTTTTGTCAATTTTTTTACTTTCATTCATTATTATTTAAAATTTATTATTGATAAAAATATAAAAATATATTTTAAAAACTTTAAATCAAGTAGTTTTAAATACATATTTTATAAAATTTAATTACTTAAAATATTTAAAATAATTATAATCAAAGTTTAAAAATTTTATTGATACGTATCTAGGCTACCAACAGATTGTGGCCAGATCAATGTTTTTAGTCCATAATACTTACCGTTACCGATGCAGACAACGCTTTACACCGAGGACTGGATCGGTTTAAAAACCTTAGACGACGCCGGAAAGGTCCACTACATTAATGTCTCGGGAGGTCATCTCGGAATCTCCAACGACGACATGAAAAAGCATGTTGTACCTTCTTGAAGGATCAAGATTCAATGGCGGATAGCGTTCGGAGTAGTTATGTCGAAGTTCATGGACCTCATCGTAAGGTACAGTTCTGAAACCTTTGTTCAGAAAATATTATTAAATGCATTTTGACGAACTGGGTCACTCCCAAATTAGTGAGGAGAGTGGTAAGGCAATGAGTGTCTAAGTAGGCTAAGTGATGGTCGATTAGTGAGTTTCGGTTTCATGGTGAGTGTCAAGTTCTGGTTAAATGACGGGGTAAATGATGGCAAGTTTCAGGCTAGGGTGAGACCGAGGATGAGGGTGACATTAGTAAAGATGAAAAACTTAAACTTTATTTGTTTATTCTAAATCCTACGTGACATGAATATTAATGAAATAATCCATGTCATAGTAAAATATTTATAAAATAAGCAATGTCAACACATCTTTTACGATTTAATGATCAAGTGATCAGGACACAGCAATTCAAAAGTTTAATAATTAAATAAAAAAAATTAAAATTTAATGATCAAAATAGGAATAAGATAAAGTTCAATGGTATATTTTGGAATTTACCCATATTTTATTAATCGATTGTTATTTGTTTTATCTGAAAATTATATAAAACACACTATTATAGTAATATTGTAATATTATACAATAAGATTACTATTAGCAAAAATGAGCTAAAGCAAATGTATATATGCCAAAGACGCATATAAATTCAATAATTATTACTATCTCAAAGTCATCACCCTCGTCTCTTTGGAACCAACAAATTTTTCTTTGCTATGCAAATACCGGTGACGGAGTTGCAGAAGCCATGTTTTTGGCTCCACTCGATTGCAAGGCATCTTGTTTCGTTGGCGTTAAGTTCTATATATACCCATCGCATTTCTTGTTTTGTCAAACATCGCTCTCGCTCTCAATCCTCTACCTTCCTTCTTCTCGTGGTTTCATGTCATCCTGCTAGGTACTAGTCTTTTTTTTTTCCTTTTCAGAAAACGGGTTTATGTTTTCGAAGTGAAATGATCATATGGAGTGTTGTTTTGTTTGCAGATAATCTATATTAGATTTTGAGAGTTGGAAGCTGAGAAAACAGAAAGTGCAATGGAGACGGACATAACAGCCGTTGCTCTTGATGCCATTAACAAGGAGATTGTTGATCTGGTACATGTTCTTTTCTTTTTTTCCCCTCTGGTTTTAATAAGATCCTCTGATGCTAAAATCTCCGTATATACAAACGTAAATCTATAGAGTAAGATAGTTTGCAATTGGTGTTTGTTTGATGCATGACAAATGTTAGAAGAAATGTAACACGGAAATCGTTTGAATTTCTTGTACTAGTTCATTTATATATATAATGCATTTAGATTATAAACTTGTCCTTTGATGTTATTCATTCAGGAAAACATCCCAGTTGAAGAGGTTTTCGAAAAGCTGAAATGCACAAAAGAAGGTTTAACCTCTGATGAAGTGCAGAGGAGGTTTGAGCTTTTTGGTTACAATAAACTTGAAGAGAAAAAAGTAACTTAAATTTTCAATTTTTTTTTGGTTCTAAATCTTGTCTTAATTATGCAATCAAACTGAGTTTTGTTCTGCATTTTCAGGAAAATAAAATACTCAAATTCTTGGGATTTATGTGGAACCCTCTATCATGGGTTATGGAAGCAGCCGCTCTTATGGCCATCGGTCTTGCACATGGAGGAGTAAGTTGATACACTGTGAAAAGAGTGAAAATCTAATCACACCTTTGATTTCGGAATCGGTTGCTAAAACCTTCTTTCGTTGCAGGGAAAGTCTACAGATTACCATGATTTGCTTGGTATTCTAGGACTGCTTGTTATCAACTCGACAATCAGTTTTATTGAGGAAAACAATGCTGGAAATGCTGCTGCTGCACTTATGGCTCGATTGGCCCCGAAAGCAAAGATTTTACGTGATGGGAAATGGAGCGAAGAAGATGCGTCGGTGTTGGTTCCTGGAGATATTATCAGCATCAAACTTGGTGATATTATTCCTGCCGATGCTCGTTTACTCCAGGGAGATCCTCTGAAAATCGATCAGGTTCCAAGCTTTGCTTTCATTCCTTGCCTCTTTAAAGCATTATTAGATGCTCATACAACTTTACATAGTTTGAATCAGTGATGTACTTAATATCAAAGTGCAAAGGAATTCTATAGAAGAGCTCATTGTAGGAGTGAGTTTAGTAATATTGGGACTCTAATCTATGGTTTAAGTAATGTGTTTTTTTTAATCGTTGTTTGCAGTCTGCTCTTACAGGAGAGTCACTCCCGGTGACCAAAAATCCCGGTGACGGAGTTTACTCGGGTTCAACATGCAAACAAGGTGAAATCGAAGCAGTGGTTATTGCAACTGGTGTGCATACTTTCTTTGGGAAGGCAGCTCATCTTGTGGAAAACACAACACATGTTGGGCATTTTCAAAAGGTTCATCTTGCAGAACTCTTAGTATCCAAATAAAATAATTTCTAATAGATGCCGAGGAAGATCAAATTGTGTTAAATCTAATAATATTTATTGTGAAGTAACCTGCATGAGAGACCCACTGATCATGCGATAACGAGGCACTGACTGAGAGTTAATTTCAGGTCTTAACTTCAATCGGTAACTTCTGCATATGCTCCATTGCCGTTGGGATGCTAATTGAACTCATTGTTATATACGGAGCTCAACGTAGGGCTTATCGAACTGGTATCGATAACTTGCTGGTTATACTTATCGGTGGTATCCCAATTGCTATGCCGACCGTGCTTTCTGTTACTATGGCGATCGGCTCTCATCGCTTATCACAGCAGGGTGCCATAACAAAGAGAATGACAGCCATTGAGGAAATGGCAGGGATGGATGTGCTTTGCAGTGATAAAACAGGCACATTGACACTTAACAAACTTACAGTGGACAAAAGTTTGATAGAGGTGAGAGTTTTTATGGCTTTATTTTATTCTTCAAAGAACTGTCTCTTTGAGATCTATAATTTTTCATCTGCAACGTTGAGACTTAAAATGTAACTGTTTTCATCATAGGTTTTTGTCAACAACGTTGATAAGGATATGGTTGTTTTGATGGCGGCAAGAGCTTCGAGATTGGAGAATCAAGATGCTATAGATACAGCAATTGTTGCAATGTTGGCTGATCCTAAAGAGGTAAAACATCTTATATAATGAAGAATACTCTCTACTCGAATTCTTCCTTTATATAATGGTTATGGGAGTTTTATGATTACACTCTCAGTCTCCATACAATATGTTATATTCTCCATACGTGTGTATCTCGAATTAAATTGATTTTATTCTGTTGACGATCAAAAGGCACGAGCCGGAATCACAGAGGTTCACTTCCTTCCCTTTAATCCAACCGACAAGAGAACAGCCCTTACATACATAGATGGAGCTGGTAAGATGCATAGAGTAAGCAAAGGTGCACCAGAGCAGGTATACATCATGCCAATAATAAGACAAGTTTCTCTTTTCTGACGTAGCATCATTTAAGATTGTGTGAAACTCGTAAGCTATTGGCTCCTTTATATGCAACTTGCAGATACTCAATCTGGCCTGGAATAAATCAGATATTGCAAACAAAGTTCACTCCATAATTGATAAATATGCTGAACGTGGACTTCGATCCCTTGGAGTTGCTCGACAAGTATATATCACTCTTAATGTCCTTGAATATCATCACTCATTCATTGTGCTAATGGGGAAAATGCAATTTTTTTCTGTAGGAAGTTCCTGTTGGTACTAAAGATAGTCCTGGAGGACCATGGGAATTTGTGGGTCTTCTGCCTCTTTTTGATCCGCCCCGCCATGACAGTGCCGAGACCATTCGAAGAGCCCTGGATCTCGGTGTCAGTGTTAAGATGATAACAGGTATCCAATATGTCTGCTTAAGATTTTTTCTTTGGGGTCAAATGTCAAAATCGGAATCATAATGTTGGATATTGGGGATCTTGTTCCAGGTGACCAACTTGCAATCGGTAAGGAGACAGGAAGAAGGCTTGGAATGGGCACAAACATGTATCCTTCATCATCTCTGCTTGGTGACCATAAGAAAGAAGAACTCGGAGCTTTTTCAATTGATGAACTTATTGAGAATGCTGATGGATTTGCTGGAGTTTTTCCTGGTAAATATATTTGCTATTACATCTGAGTCTAACAGTTATGCTTTGTATAAATGTATTTGATTCTATATTTAATGTAGAGCATAAGTACGAGATTGTGAAAAGATTACAAGCTAAGAAGCACATAGTTGGAATGACGGGAGACGGTGTCAACGATGCCCCTGCATTGAAGATAGCAGACATAGGGATTGCTGTTGCAGATTCAACCGATGCCGCTCGAAGTGCGTCGGATATTGTTTTGACAGAACCTGGTCTGAGTGTGATCATTAGTGCTGTTTTAACAAGCCGTGCAATCTTTCAAAGAATGAAGAACTACACGGTAAAGAAAAGGGAATTTCATTTTACGTGCAAAAGAAGTGAAATTAACATCATTACTATCAAAAGTTTCTCACTTTGTATTCTTCCTTTTTCTTCCAGATATATGCAGTATCTATCACAATACGTATAGTGGTGAGTTTTCAATACCCTTTTTGCCATTTTCCCTTTTGATCCGGAAAAGAAAACACCGATGTTAAATTTTATTGGTTTTCTTACAGTTGGGGTTCATGCTGCTCACTACAATCTGGAGGTTGAATTTCCCTCCTTTCATGGTCCTAATCATTGCCATTCTTAACGACGGTAAGTGAATAATCTTCTTGTTGGATTCTTCTTTATTATTTTAGCCATTTACGTTAGATGATTTCGCTCTTTCCAGGTACCATCATGACGATATCGAAAGACAGGGTCAAGCCATCACCATCTCCTGACTCATGGAAGCTCAAAGAAATCTTTGCCACCGGCATTGTCTTAGGCAGCTACCTGGCCTTAATGACTGTCATATTCTTTTGGGCAGCCTATGAAACCGATTTCTTTCCAGTAAATGCAAACTATTCATTTGATCTCTAGCTATCATAATATTCATTTTTTTTCATGTTTGAAACTCTATTCTCTCCTATCGTACCACAGGATAAATTCGGTGTAAGAAGCTTGTGCAAAAAGAACTTTGATCTTACACAAAAGAGTGAAAGATTGAGGTTGAATGATCTGTTATCATCTGCAGTCTACCTCCAAGTTAGCACCATCAGCCAGGCTCTCATATTCGTGACTCGTTCACAAGGATGGTCATTCACCGAACGACCCGGTCTTCTTCTCGTCACTGCTTTCATCATTGCTCAACTCGTAAGCCAACTCAAAACCCCGAACTGTTTTCGATTTTACAATTCGGTTCGGTTCACAAACCAGCAAAGCTTTCATCTATATACGCAGGTAGCAACTGTTATTTCAGCTGAAGCAACATGGAAACTAGCTGGAATCAGAGCTATTGGGTGGGGATGGTGTGGTGTTATTTGGATTTTCAACATTTTAACTTATTTACTGCTCGATCCTATCAAGTTTGGCGTACGATATGCACTCAGTGGAAGAGCCTGGGATCTTGTGCTTAACCAAAGAGTAAACATAAAACAGTTTTATTCACTACATTCATTTGTTTCTATTGAAGCTGACGTGTGATCTAAATATGGGGTTTGGCTATTTATTCTCAGACCGCATTCAATACGCAAAATGACTTCGGTAAAGAGGCTCGTGAGGCTAAATGGGCTGCTGAACAGAGAACACGTCATGGCCTACAGACTACCTCGGACGCTAAAATTTTCTCCGATAAGCACACGTTTAGGGAGATCAATGTCATGGCAGAAGAAGCAAGAAGGCGTGCAGAGATTGCCAGGTATCCGACTGCACCTGATATATGTGTATTCATGCTCGAGTTCGAATAACATAACAAAGAATTATGCGATATATGAAACTAGTTCTATTTGTTTTTATGTGATGAGCAGACTGAGGGAAATTCATACACTGAAAGGCAAAGTGGAGTCGTTTGCCAAGTTGAGGGGGTTGGATATCGACGTGAACCCACATTACACTGTGTGATATGGGAAAAGGGTAGTCTTCTTCAAAGTCTAGACGCCACCTCCAATTCCGTTTGCTCAGTTTCTTTCTTTTTTTGGTCTTTTCTGTTTCGTGAAATTGCTGTATTCAGATATTACTTGCTCATAAAACGCATTTCAAGCAGTAATTTTCTGCCAATTGGTTGCCGGTCATTCTCCGTGTACTGTCAATAAGAGCTTTCAGTGCTAATATTATCATTTACACGCTATAAAACACGCGTTTGCCTTGTTATTTTACTGTTGTTTCAATGCAAAACTTTCTGTCCCAAAATTAGAGGTGTAAATCAACATGTCGTACACGGATATGGTTGTATTCATTTGTTTATTTTTAATGTATTTTTTGTTCGTTTGTTTATTTTTTAAAGTGTTTGTGTTAGGTTTGTTTAGTGTTTATGAACATATTCGTTTATCATTTACCAACATGTTCATTTAGTGTTCGAGAAAATATTCGTCCGTATTTTCAAAAATGGTGAAATTATATCAGTGGTCTTTAAGCTCCTCAGGCTTCTCAATTTGATTCCAAAGTTTATTTTGTGTTCAATTTAGTCTATATCTTCTTCAAAATTTAAAATGCCAAATAACAAAAGGAAAATGAGAATCAAATAAACTAGATTATAAAAGAGTCGTTAAACAAGTTTGTTCGTGAACATAAATAAACTAAATACATCTCTGTTCGTTTTCATTCATTTATTAAATGAAAATAAAAAAATTTGTTCACATTCGCTTATTTAATTTAATAAATAAACATAAACGAATAGATTTATGAATAATTTATCGGAGGCTATGTTCATTTATACGCCTACCCAAAATGTTATGGCAATGTCACAAGTCGCATAGCAAAATGCTGGCCAATATATGAATTACAAGAGCTAAAACGCCTGTGCAAAAGCTTCGGCGATCCATGCAAATTCTAAAGAGAAACAATAGAGTTGCTTGAATTGAGTTACCAAATAAAACCCCTTCTTTTTTATCTCTACCCCTAAAGTTGTGACCTTTAAGCTCTCCGGTCTCCTCTTCTTCATGGGTAAATTCAAAAGCTTTAACCTCTTCCTTTTTTCCCTTGAGAATCATTTATACTTGTTTTATTGTTTGCAATTTGATTTAATTACTTGTGTGTATTGGTGCCTTGCAACGTTTATTTGGGAACTTATTTTTTTCCCAAGTTGGAAAATTCCAAACACTCAAGCTATTACTTTTAGTTTGTCTTGCTTTGTAACCCAAGTTGGTTATTGGAAACTTCTTATTTCTGGGTTTTTCTGATTCATTCAAGTTTTATGATATTATGCTAAATAATGGATACTTAATTCTATACTGAATGACCTTTTATTCCTTATTGGTACGGTTCATTAGATGAGTTTAGAGTGTGCGTCGTGTCGTGATCGTCCCTTTTATGGGGCCATAACCGGGTAGGTACGCCAAGGCCAACCATGTATAGGGCCTAGTGGCAGGGTAGAATAAGCTTGTCCTCTTTTCAAGAATTTTAATATTTTAGGTATGGAGTAGGGGTATGACTTAATGTCCCCTGTTCGAGCATTTCAACGTCTATAGGTAGCATTTCTGTTATTTTGTTTTCGCATATATGTAGGGGGTGGACAGCCGGCAGAGTTTGGGCTGATCCACAGGTAAAGGTACGTGTCTTGTGAACACCATCGAGGGTCGCCCCTACGGCCTAATCGGTGGTGTGGGTGAGTCTTCTGTAACCCGATATTTCTTTTATTAATAAAACATTTTTCTCTCGGAGAAGTCCGGGGGGTTGAGGTGTGCATCCGTTATGCCCCACGGGCTCGGATTATTGGTCGAAGGACCATGTGGCTATAAAGATCTAACGCGATGTTTGTTTATGCTTGATCAGATCTACGAGATTAAGGCTGACTTGGTTGGGAAGCGTCCCTTTCGAGTGCCACACGGATTAGCAACCGAACCAACTAGGCTAAGTCCGTGACACTTGGTATCAGAGCACAGAGGTGCGTGTTCATTTACTAAAAGCACGGAGGTGCTCATTTTGTTGAGTAAAGCATGATAGTGCTTGTTACCTGCTTGTGGCACAGCTGTGCACAAGTGCTAAACCTAGCACAGAGGTGCTTCACCTCAGGCCGCAGCACGGAGGTGCTCGGTCATTTGTAAAAGCACGGAGGTGCTTGATTTTAGATTGTAGCACAGAGGTGCTCAATCATTCCAATGCACAGAGGTGCCAGAATTTAGATTGAAGCACAGAGGTGCTCAGTCATAGTTGGTTGCACAGAGGTGTCAGTCATCGATTGAAGCACAGAGGTGCTCAATCATCTTAGCTACACAGAGGTGTCAGCTCCCGGCTGAAGCACAGAGGTGCTCAGTCATTTTTTTTAACTGCACAGAGGTGTCAGTTCTCGATTGAAGCACAGAGGTGCTCAATCACTTTTGGCTACACAGAGGTGTCAGCTCTCGATTGAAGCACAGAGGTACTCAATCGTTAATTCTAGCACAGAGGTGCTATGGATTCAGCACAGCGGTGCTCTTTTCCTTCCTAATTTAGGCACGATTGTGCCTATTTGTGTTGCAGGCATAGAGGTGCCAGCGAGTTACAAAGAATGGTTCACACACGAAATGGCGGAGCAACAAGCTCTCACAGAGGTGTAGAGTAGGAAGTTACTGAGCCGGTTGCACCAAGAATGGTTCGCACACGAAATGGCGGATCGACAAGCTCTCACAGAGGTGTAGAGCAGGAAGCTACCGAGCCAGTTGTGCAAGAGACTGGTTCGGTTGATCGACGGAAGCTAGAAGAGATCGAAGCCGCACTAGCTGCACTTAGAGCTCATATGATATCTGGTGATCGTATGAGGAGAGTAGAGGACCCAAGAAGATTTGCTTGAGACAGTGACTGATTTGGGCAATGAGGCAAGAGATGCCATAGGCGTGATACAACTTGGGTATGATAAGCTGAAGGCTCAAGTCAGTGTGCTTCAGGCAGCGGTAGCTAGTTTGACCGCAAACCCTATTGAAAGAGTGGGCACACGAGCCAAGATCCCTGATCCTCAATGCTTTGATGGAGCGAGGGATGCTAAAGAGCTTGAGAATTTCTTATTTGACATAGAGCAGTATTTTCGAGCTATGCGCACGGAGTCTGAGGAAGATAAGGTGGCAATGGCTTCGATGTATCTAGGTGGTGATGCCAAGTTATGGTGGCGGTCCAAGTTCAAAGATGGAGTGTGCTCCATTACGACTTGGGATGCGTTAAAGAAGGAGTTGAAGACCTCCTTCCTCCCCGAGAATGTTGATTACAACGCTCGTAAGAAGCTAAAGGAATTATCCCACACTGGGACTATACGGGAGTATGTGAGAGAGTTCTCAACCTTGATGTTGGATATAAAGGATATGTAAGAAAGAGATAAGTTGTTTCATTTTCTTGAAGGGCTCAAGCCATGGGCTAGACTCGAGTTACAGAGACAGAAGGTTCAAGATTTGACAATAGCGATAGCTGCTGCCGAGTGCCTTAATGATTATAACGATCATCCTGGAAAGCGCAAGACGCCTTCTGTGAGTGGAGCTAACATCCAACAGGTTAGTGGGAACAAGTTGGCTCGAGGGGGGAAGACATCGAGTTGGGGAGCAAATAGAAGAGTCCCTGGAAGGGACCCAGCTCAAAATAAAGTCCCTACTGGTCCTGGATCGAGCAATGGAGGGAATAGACCCTCGTTAAGGTGTTTTCTTTGCAATGGACCTCATCGGGTTGCAGAGTGTCCACAACGAAGTGCTTTTAATGTCATGGTTGCAACAACAAAGGACGGAGAAAGAGTGAACGCTCCGATGGGAGATACTGAGCCTGAGCCGGCTAGAATGGGCTCCATTCGATTCATAACTGCATTACAGTCTCAGTTGAGTAACTTGAGGAAAGAACCAGAGAAAACATGATGGGAGTTTGAGATTATGTGTTGATTATAGAGCATTAAACAAAGTGACTGTCAGGAATAAATATCCCATTCCGTTGATTGTCGATTTGTTCGACCAGCTGAGTAATGCTAAGTATTTCACGAAGTTGGATCTCAGGTCGGGATACCATCAAGTGAGAGTGGCCGAAGGGGATGAGCCTAAGACGACATGTGTAACTCAGTATGGAGCATTTGAATTTCTCGTTATGCCTTTTGGACTAACCAATGCTCCCGCTACTTTCTGCACTTTAATGAACCAGGTGTTCCATGACTATCTCGATAAATTCGTAGTCATCTACTTGGACGATATAATGATTTTTAGCAATTCGATAGAAGAGCACTTGGAGCATCTTCGGTTGGTGCTGACGAGATTACGGGAAAATCGGTTGTTTGTGAAGAATGAGAAATGTGCTTTCGCCCAAACGCAAGTCCAATTTTTGGGCCACATCATTGAACGAGGGCGCATTCGTATGGATAAAGAGAAGGTGAAGGCTATCCAGGAGTGGCCGACCCCACAAAATGTTAGTGAGCTTAGATCTTTCCTTGGTTTGGCCAATTATTATAGACGATTCGTAGAAGGTTATTCTCGTAGAGTAAAGTTACTCACCGATTTGCTGAAGAAAGGCTGCGAGTGGGTTTGGTCCAAGGACTGTCAAGAGGCCTTTGACGATTTAAAGAAGGTTGTAATCAGTGAACCAGTGCTTACCTTGCCAGACCTGGAAAAACCTCTAGTAGTAGAGACAGACGCATCCGACTATGCAATTGGAGGCGTACTCTTACAAGACAAACATCCCGTGGCGTTTGAGAGTAGGAAGCTAAATGAAACTGAAGCGAGATATATGGCTCCAGAGAAAGAACTTCTCGTAGTAATTCATTGCTTGAGGATTTGGAGGCATTATTTGTTGGGTTCCAAATTTGTGGTAAAGACCGATAATACAACAGTTAGCCACTTCCTTACACAACCGAAACTAATAGCAAAGCAAGCTAGATGGTAAGAGTTTCTGGCCGAGTTTGACTTCAACTTTGAGCATAAGGCGGGGAAAAAGAATCAGGTTGCTGATGCTTTGAGTCGCAGGGCAGATTTGGCAGCACTCCGATGTGTGGCCCCTATATCCGCTAGTAGAGTGTCCAATGAAATTCGTCAGCTCCTTGTGAACTTTTCCAAGCAAGATCCGCAAGTGGAGGCCCTTATGGAGATGGTTAAAAAGGGTGTTTCGAAATGTTTTTGGATAGAAAATGGCTTATTGATGACAAAGGGGCCACGAATGTTTGTTCCTCGAGCTGGAAATCTACGACAGAAGCTGTTGAAGGAATGTCATGATACCCCATGGGTCGGGCATCCGGGTTGGAGGCGTACTGTTGCTTTGTTGGGACAAGGGTATTATTGGCCTCAAATGCGCCAAGATGTGATGGATTACACCAAGACATGTCTTATCTGTCAACAAGATAAGGTAGATCGACAGAGGACTGCTGGGTTGCTCAAGCCACTACCCGTACCCGCCCGACCTTGGGAGAGTATCTCCTTGGATTTTATATCACGCTTGCCTCGAGTAGGAGATCTTGGATCAATTTTGGTGGTAGTGGACAGGTTCTCGAAGTACGCCACTTTTATACCAGCATCAAAGTATTGTTCGGCGGAAGAGACTGCTAAGTTGGTGTTCAAACATGTGGTGAAATATTGGGGCATTCCTCAGAGCATAGTCAGTGACCGAGATGGAAGATTTATTGGGAAATTTTGGAAAGGATTGTTCCAGTTATTAGGGACACAACTCAACTTTTCATCGAGTTATCACCCTCAAACAGATGGTCAAACTGAGCGATTTAATGGACTCTTGGAGGAGTACCTGAGGCACTTTATTCAGGCCAATCAGAAGAACTGGCCTCCATTATTGGATGTGGTGCAATTATGTTTTAATTCACAAAAGAGTTCGTCTACTAATAAAAGCCCTTTTGAACTGGTGACAGGTCAGCAGCCAAGACTTCCTCACACTGTGGATGAGACCTCTCAAGGTAGATGCCCTCGTGTCTCAAATTTTGTGGGGGAGTGGAAGCAGAATATGGAGATTGCCAAGGCTTACTTAGAGAAAGTAACGAAGCGTATGAAGAAATGCGCAGATCGTAACAGGCGAGACCTACACTTTCAGGTTGGAGATTTGGTGCTAGTCAAGTTGATGCCAGAACAACTTAGATTTTTACGCCAGAGGGATCGTCGCTTGGTGCGTAAGTACGAGGGTCCAGTCTCAATAGTAGCAAAGGTGGGGAATGCTTCGTACAAAGTTGACCCTCCTACTTGGATGAGAGTTCACCATGTCTTCCATGTGAGCAATTTGAAGCCGTTTCACACCGATCCTAATATCGATAATCAGAGTATGTCTGCCAGGGAGTCAATCGGCACACAACCACCCTCATAGCGCCATGTTGACGAGATTCTAGCAGGGAGAATTGTTAAGGTGGGTGGAAAGCAAAGACGGGAGTATCTAGTCAAGTGGGGAGGCTTTGATCAGGAAGAGAACACTTGGGAAAGAGAGTATGATCTCAGGGCATTTAAGCAACAGATTGAAGAGTTTCAGGCAAGCAGTCGACGAGGACATCGACAAATTAGGTGGGGGAGATTGTCGTGATCGTCCTTTTTATGGGGCCACAACCGGGTAGGTACGCCAAGGCCAACCATGTATAGGGCCTAGTGGCAGGGTAGAATAAGCTTGTCCTCTTTTCAAGCATTTTAATGTTTTAGGTAGGGAGTAGGGGTATGACTTAATGTCCCCTGTTCGAGCATTTCAACGTCTATAGGTAGCATTTCTGTTATTTTGTTTTCGCATATATGTAGGGGGTGGACAGCCGGCAGAGTTTGGGCTGATCCACAGGTAAAGGTACGTGTCTTGTGAACACCATCGAGGGCCGCCCCTACGGCCTAATCGGTGGTGTGGGTGAGTCTTCTGTAACCCGATATTTCTTTTATTAATAAAACATTTTTCTCTCGGAGAAGTCCGGGGGGTTGAGGTGTGCATCCGCTATGCCCCACCGGCTCGGATTACTGGTCGAAGGACCATGTGGCTATAAAGATCTAACGCGATGTTTGTTTATGCTTGATCAGATCTACGAGATTAAGGCTGACTTGGTTGGGAAGCGTCCCTTTCGAGTGCCACACGGATTAGCAACCGAACCAACTAGGCTAAGTTCGTGACACGTCGCACACCGAAATACATCACTAATGTGACATACGGATGCGCACCACTGATTAAATTATCCTTATTAAATGAATATTAAAATAATATAATGACTTATCCATAATTAATCTTTTATTATTATTTAATTTTAATTTTATTAAGAATATAATTAATTTATATTTTTTTATTAAAAATTATAATTATTTTATGATTTTTATTTGTTTAGGATTGTAACACTTACTTTATATAAGTTTACATATTCGTCCCAATAACAACCATCAAACTAACTGCTATGAAGCTCCTGTTTTGGTTAATGTTACATGTTTATAGATTCATCTTATACAGAGACACAATCTTCGATTTCTCTCATTGAAAATAATTTTAGAAGTGATTTTGTGCATTCATCACCAATGATGGTAGAACATGACGATTTAGGTAATTTGAAATCATTGTTTACATTTAAAGAATTAATCCATGCTATTATTAGAAAACTAAAGAAGAACACAAAATATTACTTTATTTGCTATGAAACAAACAGCTGCAGTACAGGAGCTTTATAGCTCACAAAAACTGAAAACAGTCAGATCTAACAACCTAACTGATGAACTAACAGCCTAACAACATAAGGCTTATCTTGCATACATCAGAGAGCACACTATTCACGTGCACCTTAGCACACTCCATGCACATTATCTTTTAATATTCTCCCTACTTCTTCTTCTCCTTTCAGCAGACAAACATTCACCCTTGCACGAAACATGGTAAACGTTGTTTTGGTCAATGGTTTTGTTAGCCCATCTGTAACCTGATGAGCAGCAATATAACTGATTAGCAACAATTTTTTCTAAATGCTTGGACTGAGCATTATAAACTGGATTTTCAACTAACAACTATCTTCGAAAGCTCCTGCAACCGAAACCCAGAAATCACAATAAAGAAATAGAAACATTATCTCATAATTCATGGTTTTTCCCTCTAAATTCCTTGCCTTTGTCTCCTTTCTTGTATTTATTACGATCACCCCATTTTCTCATTCGATCCCCTTCATTGTTATCCATGGTAATTGTTGTCTTCTTCATTTCCCATCATGGTCTTTTTATATCAAAGCTTAAACTTTTTTGGTTTTTCCCTCTAATTTTGTTGTTGCAAGGATTGGAGATAAGTGTGCCAATCGTGGAGTCAAACGGTTCATTGAACTTCTCACTAACTTTTCTGGTGCTAAAGGATATTGTTTGTATGCTTCTTAAGCTTTCTTTTGTTTCCATTTCCTTCCCTTTTTACTGCATATCGACTTGATTTTCCTTTTCAATCATACAGAGAAATTAGAGATGGGACATGGGATTCTTGGTTTATGCCTCTGGAAGAACAGGTAAAACTTCTTACAAGATGAAAAAGATTCCATTATTATTGTCTGGTTTCCTTTTTTTTAAACAATTTCTGTTGCTTGTTTGCAGACAAATGTGGTTTGTGAGAAGGTGATGTATTGTTCTGGGTAATTTGTTGGTTTTCTTTGTTGGTCTGGGTTTTGGAGTTTATCTTCCCTTTTGACAAAACTCCAGTATGATATCAACAGGTTAAGCAAATGAAAGAACTGAGTAATGGTTAAAACATAGTTGGTCTCTCCCAGGTATTTTTTTCCAATTCAATTCACTAATTGATATACAAATACTTCATTTATTCATTGATAGTTCTATTTAATAGTATTGCTTTTGCTAGGATTTACATATTGTTGTTTTCTCTTTCCTTAATCCACACTTTTATTTACAATCTGCAAGGATCTTTTTGTATAGTATATCATCACATTGAGTAGGTGAATTGCTAATAGAAACCTAGAGATGGTCTTCGGAAACCTCCAAGCTTCTGACAAATTGGACTCGCTGAAATAACCAGCACCCCGTTAACCAAAATCTCCAAACATGCCCTTCCGTCTATAAGAGCCTCCAACAACCCTACATCTTTCGGATACAATTTCCTAATCAACTACAGTGCGTAAATAAGACTTTTATCAGGTCCACGTGATTTATCAAAACATAATCAAATGGTTAGATTTATCTAGTCCGTTAGTCTACAAATAATCATAATGGTCCTATGTCTCTCACACACACATTAAATGTCACTATAAATACCCCTTAATACAACTGAGAGAGGGGTTGGAACCTTTCACAATCTACACCCCACCTTCATCTTCTCCATTACGACTAACTCCCTCTTCTACGAGAACACCGGCCAATGGTTGTTCTTTCATCGACCACAACTCTCTGTACAAATTAGAAAAAGTGAACAATACACGATTAACAAGAAAATTTTGTTCCCATCAACACATGTCAATGCTTATACCTCGCCCATCCGGTTGATATCATCGATTCGACTTATCTTCAATCCGTCATACGAATTCAGAAAAGTTAACAAATAAACAAAAGAAAATGCATCTAAAACATGTATTTGTTATTTTGGTTGTTTTTATATGGTAAGAGGCAACTTCCATTCACGGACTCGTTCTAAAAAATTTACTTGGTTTAACAGGGTAACTTGATAGCCCGGGGTGTTATCGAGTTTTGTGATTGTGCACCACAGGTAAGAGCCGACTGACCTAAAGCTTCTTTTTATCGGAAAGATTAACTTCTTGATCATATATTTACTGACTCTTTTCTTCAACATTATTTACTTGTTTTGTGCTCTCTTAATTTACAACCCTTTTTTCCCATTATCATCATGATTTCAATAGTTAGCCACATTTGGGTGATTGTCACTCTTCCCTTTTTATGTGTATTAAATGATGGGATTTTACTATATGTTGAATGTTTTAGGAATTATTTTTTTCATATGAACTGAATGTTCCAAAATGATTTTCTTCTGTTGCATGACGAAACAGGTGAAGAATTTTATCTCTTTAGCAGGGTGTCCGCAAATTGTGACTATTAAATATGGTTGAGAAATATGTGCAAGTATACACAATCCAACAAATAATATAGTGATGAGTGAGTATCGTATCCACAGGGATTGGAGGAAATTTATACGTTCAGTAAAAGCAATTTACTATTTCACCTAAGTATAGTTAGTAATGGTATGTACAAATGAGAATGATGTGGCAAAATGAAATGGATGTTGGTGGGAATGGAACGATAGTGTGATGTGGAAGCAAATGGAGATGTCGTGGCAAAATGGATGGAAATGTCGTGAGAAATTAAATTTTGTTTAGTGCAATCAAATGAAAATGTAAAGGCAAAATAAAATGTAAATACTAGGTTTGATTGTCATTATTTTAGACTCATCGCACAACAAGTTACTACGGGAATTAATGATGGGAGTCACTTAGGAAACTTAAGTCTACTTCTCAGGATGATCTTACTTCTATGCCTTATTTGCCCGACAGAGTTTACTAATGGTGCCCTATGCTATCTCTAGTCAAGGGACTCGACAGGTTCAAGATGTCATGACAAACCTATTGGTGTTAGTAAGTGCAGGGATCCTATAGGTTCAGATAACATGATATGTTACGGCAATACCTTTTAGCGGCAACACTAACATCTAACCTCTCGATCGAGCACTACTTCTTTTAGTCGATTGAAATCCTAGCTTTATGTCTAAGGTTGGATTAGGCCAAGTTACTATCTAGAACCCCTTGCTTATGTGGATTCTCACTAGTTTCTCTCGAACACTAAGGACATGTTACTTAGTCATTCTCTCGAACACTAAGCCATCTCTTAAGGAATAACTACTCTCATAGCTCCTACAATCTTAAGGCATTAAACATCATAAACAAAACCAACAACAACATACAAAAACAACCATCAATTAAAGTAAAACTTAAATATCCATAAAGAACTCCCACCAAATAAGACTAGTTCATGATGGGGTTCGAATGTTCCAAGCAACAAGGTTATAAATTAATTCGTTCCATACAACCCAAATAAGATAAAAGAGAGCAAACAACAAAGGAAATGAGGAAAAACCTTCAACGTGCACTGCCGGAGCTCCCCTCGACCACCACGAACTGCCCCAGCTCGCTAGCTCCTCTCGGACGCCTAGTTCGCCACTCTCTCTAGCTTTTTAATTGAGGAATGTCACGTCAAAGACAATTGATGGAAAAAGGAAAGACCTTTTTCTCTCTGAAAATAAGCTCAAGTTGGCGTGTGTAAGTCTCTTTCTCTTGGTGACTTCATCTCCTATTTAAAAGGGGAGAATAAACCTAGGAATTTGTGTTAAAATTTTTAAGATACTCCGATCAGGCTCCTTTCACGTGAGGGGGTGAGCAGTTGTGGCAGTGGTCCCCTCCAGGGCAGTTGGGCATAGAACAGATAAGATTAACTTGTTGTTGGGCGTGGTCCCGAAAGAATTAGATGACCCAGGTGGCAGATGTCTCCTCTCGTGTGACTGATGGTTGAGGGCACGTGAAGACAATGACAAATGGCTCTTGAAAATATCATCTTTCATCTTTTCCGCTTTCAAAACGACATCCGCTTTGGCACTTGCATTCTGCTCAACAATCTTATCATGTCACAACAATTCTCTTTTGCTTATCCTTTCTCCCAAATCCTGCACATCATTAAACAAAACACATTTCCCATAACGCAACATCGTTTACAAAATAAAATGTCGCGACAAAATATATTTCCACCTCATGCAACTATATGCTCCTAAATGCATCTATATGATCCTATATGGGATTTTAAACAATCAATAACTTAAGTGAAAATGCCCTAAATATGACCTTTTTATGGAGTTATCACATGGCCTCATGCTGGTACTGTTTCTGTTCCTCTTTGTGGTGTAAGTGTCTTGCTACTCTTTTAGTTGATTATTGTTAGTATTTATAAGATGTCATTGGTAGATAATCGTTCTAGTCGAACCGAATCTCCTTTAATCCTATCTGGAGTTGTATTGCTTATTGTTGAAGTAATTATTTTCGTATTGTTGTCTGGTTTTCTGTGGTTGATTGCGGACAAGCTAATCAAGTCGGAGATATACAACAATTATATCCAAGTACACATGTCATACCCCAATTTAGGGGTCAAATTATAAGTTTTCAAAACTTATAGTCACTTTTAGAATGTACATGAAATTTATAGATCCAGTCTTGAATTTACTCATTTTTGTTAGATGTTGAAAAATAAAACCCTCTCCCCCGAGTAATCTAGTTTTCTTTAGAAGCTTACCCTAATTTTCTTCCTCATCAAACCCCCTTTATCCCCTCGATTCTCTACCATTCGGCCACCGTTCGTTGCTCCGACACCACCAATAGACTCACTATCGAACGGTGAACAAAACCCGACCTCTATTCCGTCTTGAATCACCATCGTTCGTCATGAAACTAACTATGAAGTATCGTCAGAAACCCCCCCCCCGACCGTCGCTCATTTTTGATGATTCCAGCCGCCTCCGACGTTGTCTCACCTTACCGCCTACACCATTTGACTCACTGCCACTGTGCGCTCAAAACCAGACCAAAATCGTCGCGCCGTTGTTGCTCTGTTATCGTCACTGGCTGACCACCGTTGGAGAAGTTTGTAAGTTTTAAATTCTACAATCCGGTGTGTTTCGTTGAGAAATAACACTTGCACAATCCTGAGGTCCCGATCTAGGAATTTGGAAATTTTCGTCGCCGTTTGACGATCAGAGTCACCGCACGCGCCTCTCACTGTGTGTGGGCATCGTCTGCCGATCTGAGAGGGTGATGATCGGTTGAACCGGCCTGAACCAGTTGGACCAGTCTGGACCGAGCTACCTAATCGAGCCGACCGAGCCGTCTGAACTGAGCCGACCGAGTTGACCAGTGTTGACCATTGAATGTTGTTGACCGACTGTTGACTTTTTCTGGGAACACCTATCCTGACGTTTTTCGACGTCTTGAGTCCGTTTCGCCAAATTCGAACCCGGTAAGCTATTTTTAACTAATTTACCACCCGATTCGATCTGTTTTTCACAATTAAGCTATGTTTTTTTATCAAATTTTTGTTGATATGTATCTAAGGGATTATTGGACGTTGAATTCAAGTTGAGGGTGATGGAATAGAGATTAATTGTTCGGTCGATATGGCACAAAAATCGAGGTAATACATTACTACATTTTCATGCTTTATAAAACATGTTGGTATTGATAAATGCATGAATGAAAATGTTTGGTCTCATCTGGGTAGTTAATTAATTCCTACACTTGATCCGAATGCGATAAAAAGTCGATAACTGAATAAAATTTTGATGGCTTGTACAAGAAATTAGAAGTTTGATAAGAAATAATTTCAAGTTCATAGATTATTCGGAAAAGCAATTAACCCTATGATCTCTAAATTCTATTTATCCTTGTTAAGAGTCTTAATACCGAAATTACCTAGTTAAGAAATTACGAAAATACCCTTGAGAGATAAGAATAATCTGAGTTGACCCTGAATGAGAAAGTACCATGAGAATTCATACTTAACCCGATAAATTATTGATTTAATTGTTAAGATCCTACTTTGGTATAAAAAATTCTTGATAATCCATTCGTAGCATTTGAGAAGGCAATTGACCCGAAAATCTTCGAGTTATGAGTAAATACCTGAAGAATAATTTATCGAGGGTGCTCTTTTGTTATAATTTTTCGAAAGGACTGAAATAGATGATAAGTTTGAAATATATAATAAGATCGGACGGAAGGAAAGGATTGAAATATCCTAGATCTATAAAATGACTAAAATACCCCTGAAATGCAAATGACCCAAGAATATCACCAAGCATAGGAAAGATTAAATACCCTGGAAGGGCAATGAATTGACTAGTCGATAAGTATTAGTTCTGGAAATTGTTCAGCTCGAGTTGTTCAATAATCCGATCGATCGACATAGATGGTAAATGTCCTGAATCTTCGTTCTCCCTTATCAGTTCAAATCACTCTGGTCATATCTGAAAACACAAGTAACTCAGATGCAAAGGATTTCTGAATACCCTTCTGATTACTTAGTGCCTCCGATAAACGTCCGAATACTATATGATCCTGATAAATCACATTCTGAATAATTGATGATTCCATCAGCTAATGAACTTTTCCGATAGTGATTATAACTTCCGACATTCTATTGGTATATTGGAGACCCATGTTTCTCTGCCCGGTAAGATTATTCAGTATCTCTGAACCATATCTGGAACCTCTAGTGTGTTCCCTGATCACATGAATATTTTCTCTTATTTATGTTCTGATCTCCGCTTTGATTTCTGATATCTCTGTTTACTGAATGAAAATGTTTTATTTGGGATACTTTGGGATTTGGTATCAAGACTCTGGCAAGTTCAGTCGCTGCGGTTAATTTCTTTTATCGATTCTGCACCGACTGGTAATTCCTTACGGACCTAAGGTGACCCTTGGGTAGGATCTGCTACCCCAAGATCTTTCTTGGGTAGGCCTCCGTGGCCCCGAGAATTTTCTTGGGTAGGCTCTCAGGCCCCAAGGTGCCCCCTTAGGTTATGCAGTTATGGGGAGCTGCATATGGCGTTCGGTTGGGGGGACTATTATGGTTTTGAAAACATGTTTTAAATGGTTTTGTGGGAACACACTAGACACTCTATCCTGATCTCTTGAACCCAGTCATCCGAAATATTTCCCTCTGAACAGAAAACTTAATGTCTGTTACTACCTAAAATATCAGTGGGACCTCAGCTCAGCCTAAAAATCTATAGATGTCTGAACCAATAAGGAAACATATGCTTATCTGTTATCTACATGTTCTTTAGCATCATCTGGCATTTCTGTATTACTGAGCTTTCCAAAGCTCACTCTGTTACTCACCATTTCAGGTTAAAAATATTGCATCAACGCAACTATCGACTTCAGTAGGGGAGTTCCACTGGCTTTGCTTGCGGAGTACGGTGCATGAGATTAGGGGGCATGTAGGTTGTATTTTGTTTTTATATATGAGTCTGGAAATTATTTTTATTTCTGAATATTGACAAATTTTATTGACACATCTTCTCCCCGAGGCTTTTTAACCTGTACACTCATCTTTCTTCATGATTTTGATGAACAATGCAGCTTTTCAATATAATTTGAATACATTGTTAGTTTTATAAATTTCATGTATGTGATTTGCCGTTTTGCAGGCTCATTTGGCACCGAGTGGTTATCTAAAATTGCCGAACGTGAGTAGCATACAGCGATTTATCGGCTTATTTTGCATGATCTCTTGTTATTAACCGGTTGAAGTGTTTTACAAATTGTTTCAAGTGATTAAGACTTGTATAAGTTTCAAAATAACTTCTTAATTTCCAGGATATACTTCATTATTTGGAAAAATGTCAGTTTCTTCCGAAGCTTAACAACGAACTTCCGGACGAAAGAAATTCTACTTATAAGGAAAGGTTCACTCGCTTGCAAAACTTGGTACTTATCATGGTAAGCTGGAAAATATGCATTTAAGCTTTTCAAACCCATATTGGACCATTGGCTTCTTCGGTTCATTTATCTTCTAATCCGGCTCATCTTCGACTCAAACAGTTTGAGTATGACACTGTTTTTATACCAAAGGAAACCTCTTGGTTCGGATTTTATCCAGATGGACCCTTCAAGCCGGTCATTCGGCCTTTAGATGTACGGTATTTTTCCATGCAGAAACTGATTTATGTGTTGTTGATGTATGAACTTGAATTACGACCTGATATGTATCTAGGCTAGCAACAGATTGTGGCCAGATCAATGTTTTACAATCTTTTCATGCAGAAGACAACGCTTTACACCGAGGACTGGATCGGTTTAAAAACCTTAGACGACGCCGGAAAGGTCCACTACATTAATGTCTCGGGAGGTCATCTCGGAATCTCCAACGATGACATGAAAAAGCATGTTGTACCTTTCTTGAAGGATCAAGCTTCAATGGCGGATAGCATTCGGAGTAGTTATGTCGAAGTTCATGGACCTCATCGTAAGGTACAGTTCTGAAACCTTTGTTCAGAAAATATTATTAAATGCATTTTAACGAACTGGACCACTCCCAAATTAGTGAGGAGAGTGGTAAGGCAATGAGTGTCTAAGTAGGCTAAGTGATGGTCGATTAGTGAGGTTCGGTTTCATGGTGAGGGTGACATTAGTAAAGATGAGAAACTTTATTTGTTTATTCTAAATCCTACGTGACATGAATATTAATGAAATAATCCATGTCATAGTAAAATATTAATAAAATAATCAATGTCAACATATCTTTTACGATTTAATGATCAAGTGATCAGGACACAGCAATTCAAAAGTTTAATGATTAAATAAAATAAATTAAAATTTAGTGATCAAAATAGGAATAAGATAAAGTTCAATGATATATTTTAGAATTTACCCATATTTTATTAATCGATTCTTATTTGTTTTATCTAAAAATTATATAAAACACACTATTATAGTAATATTGTAATATTATAAAATAAGATTACTATTAGCAAAAATGAGCTAAAGCAAATGTATATATGCCAAAGACGCATATAAATTCAATAATTATTACTATCTCAAAGTCATCACCCTCGTCTCTTTGGAACCAACAAATTTTTCTTTGCTATGCAAATACCGGTGACGGAGTTGCAGAAGCCATGTTTTTGGCTCCACTCGATTGCAAGGCATCTTGTTTCGTTGGCGTTAAGTTCTATATATACTCATCGCATTTCTTGTTTTGTCAAAAATCGCTCTCTCGCTCTCAATCCTCTAGCTTCCTTCTTCTCGTGGTTTCATGTCATCCTGCTAGGTACTAGTCTTTTTTTTTTCCTTTTCAAAAAGCGGGTTTATGTTTTCGAAGTGAAATGATCATATGGACTTATGGAGTGTTGTTTTGTTTGCAGATAATCTATATTAGATTTTGAGAGTTGGAAGCTGAGAAAACAGAAAGTGCAATGGAGACGGACAAAACAGCCGTTGCTCTTGATGCCATTAACAAGGAGATTGTTGATCTGGTACATGTTCTTTTCTTTTTTTCCCCCTCTGGTTTTAATATGATCATCTGATGCTAAAATCTTCGTATATACGAACGTAAATTTATAGAGTAAAACAGTTAACCATTGGTGTTTGATTGATGCATGACAAATGTTAGAAGAAATGTAACACTGAAATCGTTTGAATTTCTTGTACTAGTTCATATATATATAATGCATTTAGATTATAAACTTGTCCTTTGATGTTATTCATTCAGGAAAACATCCCAGTTGAAGAGGTTTTTGAAAAGCTGAAATGCACAAAAGAAGGTTTAACCTCTGAAGAAGTGCAGAGGAGGCTTGAGCTTTTTGGTTACAATAAACTTGAAGAGAAAAAAGTAACTTAAATTTTCAAAAATCTTGCCCTAATTATGCAATCAAACTGAGTTTTGTTCTGCATTTTCAGGAAAATAAAATACTCAAATTCTTGGGATTTATGTGGAACCCTCTATCATGGGTTATGGAAGCAGCCGCTCTTATGGCCATCGGTCTTGCACATGGAGGGGTAAGTTGATATGTTGTGAAAAGAGTGAAAATCTAATCACACCTTTGATTTCGGAATCGGTTTCTAAAACCTTCTTTCGTTGCAGGGAAAGTCTACAGATTACCATGATTTGCTTGGTATTCTAGGACTGCTTGTTATCAACTCGACAATCAGTTTTATTGAGGAAAACAATGCTGGAAATGCTGCTGCTGCACTTATGGCTCGATTGGCCCCGAAAGCAAAGATTTTACGTGATGGGAAATGGAGCGAAGAAGATGCGTCGGTGTTGGTTCCTGGAGATATTATCAGCATCAAACTTGGTGATATTATTCCTGCCGATGCTCGTTTACTCCAGGGAGATCCTCTGAAAATCGATCAGGTTCCAAGCTTTGCTTTCATTTCTTGCCTTTTTAAAGCATTATTAGATGCTCATACAACTTTACATAGTTTGAATCAGTGATGTACTTAATATCAAAAGTGCAAAGGAATTCTATAGAAGAACTCATTGTAGGAGTGAGTTTAGTAATTTGGGACTCTAATCTATGGTTTAAGTAATGTGTTTTTTTTTAATCGTTGTTTTCAGTCAGCTCTTACAGGAGAGTCACTCCCGGTGACCAAAAATCCCGGTGACGGAGTTTACTCGGGTTCAACTTGCAAACAAGGTGAAATCGAAGCAGTGGTTATCGCAACTGGTGTGCATACTTTCTTTGGGAAGGCAGCTCATCTTGTGGAAAACACAACACATGTTGGGCATTTTCAAAAGGTTCATCTTGCAGAACTCTTAGTATCCAAATAAAATAGTTTCTAATAGATGCCGAGGAAGATCAAATTGTGTTAAATCTAATAATCTTTATTGTGAAGTAACCTGCATGAGAGACCCACTGATCATGCGATAACGAGGCACTGACTGAGAGTTAATTTCAGGTCTTAACTTCAATCGGTAACTTCTGCATATGCTCCATTGCCGTTGGGATGCTAATTGAACTCATTGTTATATACGGAGCTCAACGTAGGGCTTATCGAACCGGTATCGATAACTTGCTGGTTATACTTATCGGTGGTATCCCAATTGCTATGCCGACTGTGCTTTCTGTTACTATGGCGATCGGCTCTCATCGCTTATCACAGCAGGGTGCCATAACAAAGAGAATGACAGCCATTGAGGAAATGGCAGGGATGGATGTGCTTTGTAGTGATAAAACAGGCACATTGACACTTAACAAGCTTACAGTGGACAAAAGTTTGATAGAGGTGAGAGTTTTGATGGCTTTATTTTATTCTTCAAAGAACTGTCTCTTTGAGATCTATAATTTTTCATCTGCAATGTTGAGACCTAAAATGTAACTATTTTCATCATAGGTTTTTGTCAACAACGTCGATAAGGATATGGTTGTTTTGATGGCGGCAAGAGCTTCGAGATTGGAGAATCAAGATGCTATAGATACAGCAATTGTTGCAATGTTGGCTGATCCTCAAGAGGTAAAACATCTTATTTAATGAAGAATACTCTCTACTCGAATTCTTCCTTTATATAATGGTTATGGGAGTTTTATGATTACACTCTCAGTCTCCATACAATATGTTATATTCTCCATACGTGCGTATCTCGAATTAAATTGATTTTATTCTGTTGACGATCAAAAGGCACGAGCCGGAATCACAGAGGTTCACTTCCTTCCCTTTAATCCAACCGACAAGAGAACAGCCCTTACATACATAGATGGAGCTGGTAAGATGCATAGAGTCAGCAAAGGTGCACCAGAGCAGGTATACATCATGCCAATAATAAGACAAGTTTCTCTTTTCTGACGTAGCATCATTTAAGATTGTGTGAAACTCGTAAGCTATTGGTTCCTTTATATGCAACTTGCAGATACTCAATCTGGCCTGGAATAAATCAGATATTGCAAACAAAGTTCACTCCATAATTGATAAATATATGCTGAACGTGGACTTCGATCCCTTGGAGTTGCTCGACAAGTATATATCACTCTTAATGTCCTTGAATATCATCACTCATTCATTGTGCTAATGGGGAAAATGCAATTTTTTTTCTGTAGGAAGTTCCTGTTGGTACTAAAGATAGTCCTGGAGGACCATGGGAATTTGTGGGTCTTCTGCCTCTTTTTGATCCGCCCCGCCATGACAGTGCCGAGACCATTCGAAGAGCCCTGGATCTCGGTGTCAGTGTTAAGATGATAACAGGTATCCAATATGTCTGCTTAAGATTTTTTCTTTGGGGTCAAATGTCAAAATCGGAATCATAATGTTGGATATTGGGGATCTTGTTCCAGGTGACCAACTTGCAATCGGTAAGGAGACAGGAAGAAGGCTTGGAATGGGCACAAACATGTATCCTTCATCATCTCTGCTTGGTGACCATAAGAAAGAAGAACTCGGAGCTTTTTCAATTGATGAACTTATTGAGAATGCTGATGGATTTGCTGGTGTTTTTCCTGGTAAATATATTTGCTATTACATCTGAGTCTAACAATTATGCTCTGTATAAATGTATTTGATTATATATTTAATGTAGAGCATAAGTACGAGATTGTGAAAAGATTACAAGCTAAGAAGCACATAGTTGGAATGACGGGAGACGGTGTCAACGATGCCCCTGCATTGAAGATAGCAGACATAGGGATTGCAGTTGCAGATTCAACCGATGCCGCTCGAAGTGCGTCGGATATTGTTTTGACAGAACCTGGTCTGAGTGTGATCATTAGTGCTGTTTTAACAAGCCGTGCAATCTTTCAAAGAATGAAGAACTACACGGTAAAGAAAAGAGAATTTCATTTTACGTGCAAAGGAAGTGAAATTAACATCATTACTATCAAAAGTTTCTCACTTTGTATTCTTCCGTTTTCTTCCAGATATATGCAGTATCTATCACAATACGTATAGTGGTGAGTTTTCAATACCCTTTTTGCCATTTTCCCTTTTGATCCGGAAAAGAAAACACCGATGTTAAATTTTATTGGTTTTCTTACAGTTGGGGTTCATGCTGCTCACTACAATCTGGAGGTTGAATTTCCCTCCTTTCATGGTCCTAATCATTGCCATTCTTAACGACGGTAAGTGAATAATCTTCTTGTTGGATTCTTCTTTATTATTTTCGCCATTTACGTTAGATGATTTCGCTCTTTCCAGGTACCATCATGACGATATCGAAAGACAGGGTCAAGCCATCACCATCTCCTGACTCATGGAAGCTCAAAGAAATCTTTGCCACCGGCATTGTCTTAGGCAGCTACCTGGCCTTAATGACTGTCATATTCTTTTGGGCAGCCTATGAAACCGATTTCTTTCCAGTAAATGCAAACTATTCATTTGATCTCTAGCTATCATAATATTCATTTTTTTTTCATGTTTGAAACTCTATTCTCTCCTATCGTACCACAGGATAAATTCAGTGTAAGAAGCTTGTGCAAAAAGAACTTTGATCTTACACAAAAGAGTGAAAGATTGAGGTTGAATGATCTG